CTCCACACGTCTGATAATAACCCCTCAAAAAAAACAATAATAAATTGGTCACTTCATTCCATGACTGTTTGTGGGACACTGCTGTGCGCAATTGGCTGCCGCATTTCGCACACAAATATGCAGTCAATTCACTTTACAGTCTATTCTGTGAAGCGCTTTGAGACGTCTCGAAGACGTGAAAAGCGCTGTATCAAATGCAAGGATCATTATTATAAATTAAGAGGGAATGTATGAATTTTCCATCATTCTACACCACACGATTTTAAATCTTGACGGTCAAAATGGTCACGATGTCTCACAAGTATCTGAACTCTGATACTGGGATTGATGCAGTTCCAAGACAAAAGTGTTTCACTGTCACCCTGATCACTCCTAATAAATCTCTCAACCAGCTTATTTAGAAAAAGGTCAAACTTCAAACACAGGAAGATTTTACTGCAATCCTTGCTTCCAATATCTCATTATTTCACCCTAGTGCTTCCTCAATTTTCTCCTTTCTCCTTCCATGCTGCTGATGCCTCTTACTCTCTCTCTCTCTTTCTGACCAACCTTAATCTATCTCACCATTTGAGAGACAGAACCCGAACTGTACAACAGTAACTGCAGATCTCCATACAACCATTTCTCGTGCATTATTCGATATTATTAGCATTCTAACTTGGTTAAACCATGCAACTAGCAAACATTAACTGTACTATTCTCTCGGTCGTCCTGGCCAACATTCTCCCAAATAAATTAGTCATTCATTTTGTAGCTGTTTTGGGGTCACCTCTGTGTCCAAATTGGCTGCCACGTTCACTGTGTGAGACATCCTTTTGACGTAAAAGCTGCCATAACATGAGGATTTTTGCAGTCTGTCCCACAGTAACATCCTTAGTGTTGGCCCACAACTGCGGTCACTGCAGGTTTCCCAGAAGCGTGGCTGAGGCCAGCACATTGGAACTCGTATCTTAACAAAAACAGCTCGATGCTGTGAGCGGGTGGGCGGATATTCTGGAAGGACGAGCTCTGATGGAGAATCCAAGGCATTCTAAACTGTAATGGAATTGAGCGACTCTGAATTCAAATAGTTTCACTCTAAAAGTAAACACAGTATATTTGTACGTGCAAAAAGGAATCATGTTGGTAGCTCCTTACGGCAGGCAGAGAAAGCAGCTGTTGGGAAGCTTTCAAGTCTGAATTAATTGCAAGAAGTTACGAAAGTCAAAGTTAATATCCACCGGTTTAAGTTGCACGTGTTTTCTGGGAACCGCTGATAAACACGTGGAATTGTTGTTATCCAAGCTACTTGTTTCATTTAGAAGCAAAAAATGACAAATTGTGTAAAACAAAATATACAGTCAATTCACTTCACAGTACATTCTGTGAAGCACTTTGAGACGTCTCGAAGGTGTGATGAGGCGCTGTATCAAATGCGAGGATTATTATTTATTATTAACAGTCAAATCCAGTACAAGCATTTGGAAGACTAAAACCTGCAGTTTGCTCCCAGTTTATTCCCGTTTGGCTCATTCCATTTCTAATGGGAATTATTAATCATCATTGCAGAAAGACGTGCAGGCAAGGCAAGGCAAGGCAAGCCAGACTGCATTCCTCAACTCGCTCCATAACTCCTTTACTTATTCCAGAAAACACAACACCGGTTTATTTTACTTTATTTTTTGTTTTGTTTTTAAAAGAAAAGGTAGGTTGAAATTAAATCAGATGTTTACAGTCTCTCCCCTCCACACATAAAATGCTTACTTTGGAGATCCCACCAGATAAAAGTTTTTTAAAAATACATATACACACACACACACACACACTTTCAAGTGATTTATGGGCAACAAACAAATCTTCACAAAACACAACGCCTTGCAGCACTGCTCTGCGGTGTTAAGAGCGAAGGCTGTGTGTTATACGATTTCTGGGTGCATTTTGCAATTAACATTAAAGCCATGCTGTGGGATGGGGTTGGGTGGGGTAGGGTGGGGGGGGAAGAGGAGGGGATAATCTATAATTATTTAATTGGTGGCAAATCTGGGGGTCATTCTGACTGACTGAAAGATACAGAAAATAACATTTTGTCTGAGCAATATTAATAATAATAATCCTTGCATTTGACATAGCACCTTACCACATCACTGAGACGTCTCAAAGTGCATCACAGAATATAGCCCTGAAGAAAGCTGAGCAACACCCTTATCTTATTTCTCCCACCAGCCCCAATTAAAAAAATATGGACTTGTCGGCTTACTGTTAACTGAGATTCCAGAAATCCTGGCAGTCAAGAGTAACAAAAGCAAGCTGCATGCTTATTAGGAAAGCATTGAAATGATAGAAATCTTGGCTTAAGCGCACACACACACACACACACACACACACATCCAACAACTCCAAACCCAAATGCTTACAATATTTGGATTCTCAAAGGGAGAACCATAAAAACTATTGGATGGAGGTGGGGATGGAGGGGGCGGGGGGAAAGCATTAAAGACGTTTAAAATCTTGACCGATTTAGTCGGAAATAGACAACATTTTTGTTTTAAAAAAACAACATATTCGAAAGGCAACGCACTTTATTTTACGGGTTGCAATTCAGAAAGAGAGATAGGTTTTTTTTGAGCCGACTGTAGCAGGTTTTTTTTTCGATTCTGAGCTGCGCTGCACGAACAAAAATATATACTGGAAATATATATTTCTATATAAAAACAGCAGCCCAGAATTATCAACTCACACACACACCACACACACACACACAAATACAGACACACCCTTTGTAGGAACAGGCTCATTCACCAGATAACAGTGCTTGAGAGTTTTGAGAGTCTATTTATATTTTTTTAATTTTCTTTAAAAAAATTCACCTTAACCGCAAGTAAAGGAAACGCAAATCCCAAGATTTTTTTGTACAAAAAAATGGTATTTTATTTCAAAAGGGGGAGGGGGGGGGGGGAGAGAAAAAAAATCAAAAAAATACCGAATATAGAAACACTTCTATTGATCTATAAATATAAAGAATTGTGATCGGATATGAAGCTATGAACAAACCCAGCCAGGACAAAAACCTCTTTTGTTTCCTAAAAAATATATATTTTTTAAAAAAAAAGTACTTTGTGTTCCTGGATTGAAACCGACATCTGATATTTGCACAGTTTAACGTGTGTGTGAGTGTGTGAGTGAAGTGTGTGAGTCTATGTTTGTGCGTGTGTGTGCGTTATGGAGCAAGTTGACTTAGGAAGATTTTTTTTTAATATATACTTTAGACGATGGGAAGGTCGGAGGCCATTCAAAACATGCATACAAATTCAAAAAAAATTATGTGCCTAAACTTTCTTTTAAAGTTCCTGGGAGTGTAAAAACATTTTTTTAGAAACGAAACCTCAAGCACGAACACAAGAGATCGGATTTACATTTGCCTTCCCCTGGAAGAGGGAGAGAGGAGAGGGAGAGTAGGTGGGTGGGGGGGTGGGTGGGGGGCTGGGGAAATAAGAGACAGTTTTATTGTGCTCTCCATTCAGTTAAGAGAGAGCCTGCCTGCAAAAGGGATTAAGTTTCAGATACACTTAGGATAAGATAAGATATATTCATGGCTGCTTAAATAATATAGCAGCAGTCGTTATCTCTATATGGCCTCAGCTTTGGGTTAGGGGGGGAAAAAAGGGGCAATGCTTTTCGCTCTGGACTCAAACGAGATCTCTGATCTCTCTCTCTCTCCCTCCCCCAACCCCCAAAACACCCCCAACCCCCACCCCCCCACCCAACACCTCCCCCATCGGTTCGCAAATCTGTTTATTGGCCGATTGGATGAACGCTAGTACCCGAAATACTCAATGTAAAAAAAAATCTCAAGTAAGATCTCTCACTCACTCTCTCTCTCTCTCTCTCTCGTTTTCTTTTGTTTCTTATTAAATACAAATATATAATTAAAACCTTTTTTTACAAATGCTATTTACAGGTTTATTTATTACAAGCTTGGAAGTAAGTTATCCCTTGGAAGAAGAAGGAGAAAACAACAAAAATAACTTTTTCTTTGCAAAACTTTTTGTTGTTGAATAAAAAAAACATTTGGGGTGGGGGTGGGGTGGGGGGGAGAGAGGAAAGGGTGGGGGTGGGGGAGAGAGGAGAGGGTGGGGGTGGGGGAGAGAGGAGAGGGTGGTGGGGGGGGAAGAGAGGGGTAAGAGAGAGGGATTGGGGGGTTTGGAGGTTTTTTTAAAAAAAACAATGAAAAACATGAAATAAAGTCCACGGTCACTGAATTCTCTCCACTCTGTGTGTGTGTGTGTGTGTGCCTTTATGTGTGTGTTTGTGTCTCACACTCACTCTTGTCTCTCTCACACACACTCATGTCTCACACACACACACTCATTCTCTCCCTCGCACACACTCACTCACTCACACACTCACTCCCTCTCTCTCACACTCACTCCCTCTCTCACACTCACTCACACACACTCACTCCCTCTCTCACACTCACACACATTCCCTCACTCACACCCTCACTCTCTCGCACACACACACACTCAACTCACTCTCTCTCACACTCGCCCTCCCTCACACACTCACTCTGTCACATTCATACACACACTCTCACTCTGTGACTCACACTCACACACTTTCAGTCACACACACACACTCACTTTCTGTCACACTCACACACACTCGCTCTGTCACACTCACACACACACTCTCTGTCACACTCACACACACTCTGTCACACACACACACATACTCTGTCACACTCACACACTGTCACACTCTTATCATACTCAACACACTGTCACTCTCTGTCACACTCTCACTGTCTCTGTCACACTCACACACTCTCTGTCACACACACACACACTGTCACACTCAGACACTCTCCCTGTCACACTCACACACTCTCACTCTCTGTCACACACACACACGCACTCTTGTCACACTCACACACTCTCCCTCTCAAGTCACACACTCTCCCTCTCTGTCACACTCACTCTCACTCACACTCACTCACATCCACACACACCCTCACACACACACACACACCCACACACAACCCCGGTGGTGGGGGTGGGGGGGGAGGAGGGCCTCACACGGTCGTCTCCCCGTGTTTGCTGTTGGTCAGACTGGTGTAAAACTTGCGCCACGAGTGCAAGGTCTTGCCCGACCAGATCCAGAAGCCCGAGGTGATGCCCACGATCAGGGTCATGAGGTACTTGATCATGTAGACGGTGAAGTCGGGGGTCATGCGGGGGTGGTACTGGAGGGGGCAGGGGATGGCGTAGGACTTGCAGGTCTGGCTGACCCAGCTCTTCTCCCACTGCTCCCGGAAGGCTTGCTCGTAGAAGTAGCAGGCGATGACGATGGTGGCCGGGACCGTGTACAGGACGCTGAAGACCCCGATCCGGACCATCAGCTTCTCCAGCTTCTCGGTCTTGGTGCCGTCGTGCTTCATGATGGTCCGGATCCGGAACAGGGACACGAAGCCCGCCAGCAGGAACGAGGTGCCGATGAACAGGTACACGAAGAGCGGCGCCAGCACGAAGCCCCGCAGCGGGTCGATGCCGTTCAGGCCCACGAAGCACACGCCGCTCAGCAGGTCCCCGTCGATCTGACCCATGGCCAGGATGGTGATGGTCTTGACCGCCGGCACGGCCCAGGCGGCCAAGTGGAAGTACTGGGAGTTGGCCTCGATGGCTTCGTGGCCCCACTTCATCCCGGCGGCCAGGAACCAGGTGAGGGACAGGATGACCCACCAGATGGAGCTGGCCATGCTGAAGAAGTACAGCATCATGAAGAGGATGGTGCAGCCTTCCTTCTTGGTGCCCTGGACCACCGTCCGGTAGGCGTCCTCCGAGAACCTCTCGTTGCACACCACCTTGTCCTGGAGCACGAAGCCCGCGATGTAGGCGAACGACACCATGGTGTAGCAGCCCGACAGGAAGATGATGGGCCGCTCCGGGTAGCGGAAGCGCTGCATGTCCACCAGGTACGTGGTGACGGTGAAGAGGGTGGAGGCGCAGCACAGCGACGACCAGATCAGGATCCAGACGCGGGCGAAGCGCATCTCCTCGCGGCTGAAGAACATGTAGCCGTTGGCCCGGGAGGGCTCGCACGGGGCGGCGCAGTCCTCCTCCCCCAGGAACCGGTAGTTCAGGTACGGCGGCACCTTCAGGGCCCGCGGGCAGCTGAAGAGCGGGGGGTCGCGGGGGTGGTGCGGGCGCGGGGGGTCCGGGCTGTGCGGGTGGCGGTGCGGGTGGTGGGGCGGGAGAGTGGAGAGGGCGTTGGGTGCGCCGCCGCCGCCTCCACCACCACCTCCACCGCCTCCACCGCCTCCACCGCCGCCTTCCTCGGAGCGGTTCTGGCCCACGCACAGCTGGTCGGTCCCGTGCACCGGGAAGTTCTCGCACCGGAGCCGCTCGGGCCACTGGAAGCCGAACTTGTTCATCAGCGCCTCGCAGCCCTGCCGAGCCCTCTCGCAGATGGACCTGCAGGGCGGGATGGCCTGCTCCAGCACCGTGCACACCGGGGCGTACATGGAGCACAGGAAGAACTTCAGCTCCGGGGAGCACTGGACCTTGACCAGAGGGTAGAACTGGTGGACCTCCAGCCCCGCGTCCTCCTGGTTGGTGTGGCCCAGCAGGTTGGGCATGATGGTCTGGTTGTAGGCGATGTCGGTGCACAGGGGGATGGAGATGGGTTGGCAGAAGCCGTGGTCGGGGATGGAGATGCCGCGCTCGCCCTGGAACTGACCGCCCACCGACCGACCGGACAGCGCCGCCGCCGCCGCCGCCACCGCCAACAGCAACACGCGCGGTCCGTTCGCGAACGCCTTCGAATGCATCGTTCCCCGGCGTCCCGGGTCCATTCCCTCTCTCTCTTTTTTTCTCTCTCTCTCCTTTTCTTTTCTCTTTCTTTCTTTCCTTCCTTCCTCCCTTCTCTCCTTCTTTCTTTCCTCTTTCTCTTCTTATTCTTCTCTTTCTCTTCCTCTCTCTTCTTTCTCCTCTCTCTCTCTCTTATTCCTCTCTCTTCTTTCCCCTCTCTCTCTCTTTTATTCCTCTCTCTTCTCTTTCCTCCTCTCCCTCTCCCGCTCTCACTCCCGTTTCTTTTTCTGCTTTCCTCCTTCTGTTCTTTTTCTCTCTCTCTCACTCACTCACTCTCTCTCTCTGTTTTCCTGCTTTTCTCTTTCTTACTCTCTGTTCCCGTTTCCTTGTGTTCTCTTTCCCTTCTTTCCTTCCCCCCCTCCCACCCCCTTCTCTTCCTCCCTTCGCTCTTTCTTTTCCCCCTTTCCCCCCTCTCTCTCTCTCTCTCTCTCACCCCTTCTCTCTCTCTCTCTCTCTCCCACACAAGACGGGTTGCGTTAATTCACAACATTTGGGTAAGGTTTGGTGGCAATGACTTCCCCCCCACCTCCCCCCCACCCCACCCCACTCTCTCTCCCTTTCCCTTTCCCTCCCTCTCTCTCTTTTCCTCCTCCTCTCCTCCCTCCCTCCCCCAAATAAAAAAGACACCCCCACCCACCCCCCCTTTTCCCCCCTTTCTCTCGGGAAACCACGTATATTGCCAATGCTCTTTGGCTGCTATTCTACCTCTCTCTCTCTCTCTGTCTGAGTCACTCACTCACTCACTCTCTCACTCTTTCTGAATCACTCTCTCTCTGAACCACTCTCTCTCTCTCTGAGCCACTCTCTCACTCACTCCCTCTCTCTGAGCCACTCTCTCTCTCTCTCTGAGCCACTCACTCCCTCCCTCTCTCTCTCTCTCACAGTCACTAACTCGCAGTCTCCTCCGTTAAGCGACTGTCTGACTTGTTCTTTGTGCCGCGATTGAGAACATCATCTCAATTACACCGTTTCAAGAGGCCCCTCTCTCTCCCTCTCTCTCTCTCTCCCTCTCTCTCTCTACCTCCCTCCCTCCCTCGTAAGAAGGCGGCTGCGCAACCCCCCCTCACCCACACAAGGGGGACGGACCTTGAAACAGACCCAGAGCCTGGCCTGGCCTGTCCAGCCCCCTTTTCCCCCCCAAATATCCCAACCAGTCAGGGGGGACTCCCTCACTGACCACTCCTCCACTCCACGCTCAGGGTAAAGCATTGGCACAACGTACACTCACTCACACACAGAGTGAGACACACACACACACACACACACAGTGAGACGCAGAGTGAGACACACAGAGTGAGAGACACACACACAGTGAGACACAGAGTGAGACACACACAGAGAGTGAGAGACACACAGTGAGACACAGAGTGAGAGACACACACACACACAGTGAGACACACTCACACTGAGTGAGACACACAGACAGAGTGAGCCACACACACACAGTGTGACACACACAAAGTGACACACAGTGTGAGACACACAGAGTGAGAGACACAGAGTGAGACACACACACAGTGAGACACACACACACAGAGTGAGACACAGACTATGTGTATGTGACAGACAGACACACACAGAGAGTGAGACACACAGACAAGTGAGACACACACAACCATCTCAATGATTAGACCCTCAAATACAGCGGCGTCTTCATTTAAAGGGACATGGAATTGGCAGGAGCTCAGTAGAGATCTGGATTACAGAGTGTTAATACTCAACTCTGGCTTTTTTTTAAAAATCACTCTTAACTTGTAGCAAATCGGTTCCTCACCCCTCCCTCCCCCCCCCACCCCGCAAAAAAAACACCCCTCTGCCCTCTCCCACCCTGACTAGCAGTGGTGCCCACACACTCAATCCCATTCCGTTTTGACTTGTGAAATCAATCGCCCTCTGTGGAGCGTGTGATTTAACTGCAAAAAGTTAAACTCTGGCTACACGGAATGGTTCACAACCAAAATTTCTTAAGCTGGTCGGACGGAATCAGAAATATTGTTTTATGCAATCAGTGCGTGTGTATGTGTGTCTCTGTGGGTGCGTATGTACATAAACACACACACACACACACATTTGGAGGTTGTGAGAGAACTGAAAGAGTTAAAATGTTCCGTCACCAATTGCTTGAGATGTGTTTCTTCTGCAGCTGCAGTGTGAAACTTCCACAGACTGACAAGAACTTCCTTAAATTGCGTCCATCTGATTTGCATCAAAATTATGTGCAATTGCTCCCTCCTCCCCCCAGGGTTTTATGTTGAGCTATCTTGACACCAATCAGCAAAAATTTGTACCTAACCCTTTTTTTTTGTGTGTGGGGTGGGGGGTGGGGGGGGGGGGGGGGGGTGAGGAACGGCACAGAACCAAAAGTTTTTCTTTAAAACATAATGATAATTCGGTCACTTCAATCCACGGCTGTTTGTTGGGACGCTGCTGTGCGCAATTGGCTGCCGCGTTTCGCCCACGAAACGTACGGTCAGTTCACTTTACGGTACATCTTGTGAAGCGCTTTGCGACGTCTCGACGTGTGTGATAAGGCACCGTGTCAAAATGCAAGGAATATTTTTTTTTCCCCGCTCCTCAACCGAGTTCCTCCGACTCTGCGTTGACTGACTGCTTTACTGGATGCAATTTTGCCATTGACGTTTCCACCCCACCACCCCTGTTTGCACCCACAGTACTTACTGCACACATGTGTTCGTTTTCATTCATGTTTTTTTTTCTCTGGAGGGAAAAAAAAGTAGTGCAGCCAATTCAAATCGCGGTGCATAGTGCGAACATTGTGAAGTTATTTGCTCCAGATGGTGCCTTTTTTTGCAAAAAAAAGCCACTTCTACCAGAAAGCAGTCTGAAACGGACTGACTTGACCAGTTGGGGTATAAATCACAGCATTAACCTAATAACAATATAATAATCCTTGCGTTTGATACAGCGCCCTATTGCACTGTTGAGACATCTCAAAGCGCTTCACGGAATATACTGTAACGTGAGTGAATTGACTGTATTTTGTGAGCGAGACGCGGCAGCAAATTAATTGCGCACAGCAGTGTCCCACAAACAGTTGTGGACTGAGTGACCAAATTATGATTTTTGGGGGGAAGGGATTATTGTCCCGGAAAGCTATATGGCAATTGACTATTAATAACTTAATAATTATTAATGATTATTAATAACCTAATCAAAAGAGGGTTCCTTACTCCACCTCATGCTAAGCCCCAGTAAGTACTAAAGTTCTCTATCTACCCAGTTCGGTTTCTGATTTAGGGTCCGAAACACTACAATAGTGCGAACAAACAGTTGTGGACTGAGTGACCAAATGCACTCCAGCGCCTTAGGAAGTCTTCCCGACGTGAAAGTCGCTGTACAAATGGAATTTTGTTCTTGTAGTTTGCAATTGGTAAGTGTGCAGGAGATTGGCATCAGGTAAGTTGCCTTTTGCTTTGAAGAGCCAGACAAATTCAACAAGAAGATTGGAGTCTCCATTCTGAAGACAATCAGAGCAAATATCTCACTAACCCTCACTTGCACTGAATCAGTTTCTGTGTCTGTTGTGCAAGCTCATAATATAATAATAATAATCGTTGCATTTGATATAGCGCCTTATCACGTCTTCGAGGCGTCTCAAAGCGCTTCACAGAATATACTGTTAAAGTGGAGTGACTGTATATTTGGCGGGAGAAACGTGCAAATATTAAAATGATTTCTCATCATTACTCCAACTGAAATACCGAACCCAAAGAGAGATGATTTAAAAATGTATTGCTGTTGTCAGCCTGGTAGCTGCTATCTCTTGTTTCTAGCGCCTTAGGACTTCCTCCCGATGTGAAAGACGCTGTACAAATGTAGTTTGTTGTTATTGTTGTTCCGTGTTGGACTTCTAGAACTCTTTGATATTGTTCCACCATAGTTCAGTGAATAAACTGTTACCAAATTCGAGATGGAACCACACAGTCCAATAAAGGCCTAGGTGTCATCCCGAGCCAGCTCTGAGTTAACTGCTTTCAGCCAGGAATAGGGCAATACAATTATCCTTAGCCTTGGGGGTCACCAAAACTCTCCAGATAAATTTACATACAAAAAATATTTTGCTTTACTGACAAAGCTCGTTTTCACTGATAAAAGATAATTGAAGCAACAACATTCCAACACATTGGAACCATTTAAGGGTCTGAAAACATTCTCAAGGTTTCCTGAACCAAGCTATTTGGACTGGGTGGGAGTGGGGGGTGTGGGAGAGGAAGGAATAAGCTCAGTTTCCTCCTCCTATATAGTGACGCCTACTGGAAAAAATGCATGGGTGTGGATGTTAAGTGAGGATAGGATAATAATAATAATCCTTGCGTTTGATATAGCACCTTATCACGTCTTCGAGACGTCTCAAGCGCTTCACAGGATATACTGTAAAGTGAATTGACTGTATATATTTTGTGGGGGAAACGCAGCAGCCAATTGTGCTTCAGCAGTCGTGGATTGAGTGACGAAATTCTAAATATTTTTTTGAAGGGATTATTACCCCCCGGAAAAGATTCCGGCTGTGACACTGGTCAGACAGCTTGTCAAAGCTCTCTGGGTTTACACGTGAAATGCTATTTGGCAAGGTATTGGGGAGCGAGAGTGCTGATACCAGCGGAACTGTGCTCCAGTGTGAGTCAGGGCATTCGGGAAAGCAATGGAGAAAAACGAAAACAAATCTAAGAATAACACAAATGAGCCATGTTTAAAAGCCAGATGGAATAACGTTCACTGAAACTATGAAGGGAATTTTGTTCCCGGTGTCCTGGCTAACGATCTCCCAGATGAAATTGACCATTTACTTTGCAGTTGGATGTGGGACATTGCTGTGTACAAATTGGCTGCGGTGTCCTCCTACCAAATGCACTGTTACTACGCTCTGCATTCTCTTCCTGCGAAGCTCTTTGGGGCGTTTCGATGACGTGGCTAATGCTACTTGATAAGAATTTTTTGC